ACTCTGGTGATTAGTTGTAAAAGTAATTGGTCCCGATAAATTTTAATAATTTAAATATTGTGAATTCATTATCCTCGTATCCACCTCAATTTTATGTTATAGTTAATAATTACTGCCGCTTTGTATTTAATATTTAAGAAAGTCGGTACATAAATGTTATAACAACATTTTGATGTTGGAACAAAAAGTGACAGGTAACGAACATTGTTTTAAAATTATTGTAATTCTTATTTAATATCATTCCTTTTATAATTTTAAAGATCTATTCTATTACTCGGGTTATTACATTCTTTGCGGGTTTCTTTTCGAATTGTTTTAACGATAATTTGATTTGAGACATGTAAATTAAAAAAAAAACAACAACAACTCGATATTAGCTTACTCTGCTCCTTCTGTTTCGATCTTTGTTTTCTTTTATTATTTATAATAAATAGTAAAATGAAAACTCGCAACGCCAAGACGCGCCAGGTGGAGAACCAACTCCAGCTTGCGCTCCAAGAACTTAAGGCGTCCAGGGAGCAGTGTGAACTGTTACTTAAGGAAAGGGATGATAATGAAAAAGAAATAGTTAGCATAATTGCCAAAAACACACAATTGAAATGTGATATTAAGTTAGATACAGAATACACTAGTGTTATAAAAGAAAGAGATCAGCTACAGGGAATGGTTAACGAGTTTGACCGATGCAGCAAGGAATATGAGGAAGCTCTCAGGTTCATTGCTGCATTGAAGTTACAGTTGAATGAGGCTAATGAGCAAATAATACAATTTAAAACATATATAGATAATCTTAACGCCTCCCAGACTCAAAGCCTGTTCTCTGAGCTTGTGCAATGTAATACTTCAAGAATTTTACGGCAATCTGCAACAATAGATTTGACTGGTGACGACTTTTCCCCTTCAGGAAACTCAGTGAGGATTAACTGCAGTAAAACCAAATTGAAGAAGTACATAAAAGTTAATAAATACTTAAGGAAAGTACAAAAAATTAATAAAAAATAAGATTAATACCAAAAATTATGTTAATTTATGTAAATAAAAGCAAGCATTGATTATATGAACTTAAGTTGTATTCAATAATTGAGTTGGATAACATAAGAAAATGTTATGAGACTGACGTAGAGTGCCTTAAATTAGAAATATTATCTCTTACAAATTCCCTTCAAACTGTATCCAATAAATATAAATCAGCCCAAAACGAAATAAAAGAACACATACTGGCTATGGATAATCTGGTAAAGACATGTAAATACATTGAGGAGCGTTTTGACTCCTTAGTTAAACATCAATGTGAGTGTCAGCATTCAATACCAGCTTCTTCAGAGTCGGTGTGTGTTGATAATATTATACCACCACTAAAACTCTATGACAGTGCCATAGCAGAGGAGCTTAAAATAAAAAATAACACAAATATTAACAAAAATAATATAATTGTGTATAGCGATGACATAGGAAAAAATCTAGGCATAACTTTAAATTACTCTTTAAAGGGACAAAAAATTACAAATTGCTGCATGCCTGGAGCATCTTTTAGTGACATCCTAAATAAAATTATAGTTACTAAATTTTGCCCAAATAGTACAATAATAATTTTTGTTGGTACAAGAGGCAGTGTTAACAACAAACAGTTATTAAAATATATTGAGCAACTTAATAACTTAAATGTACACAAAATTGTCTTGTTCACACTCTCTTACATACAGGGATTGCCACAGGAAAATAATCTAAGACATAATTTAAATACACAAATGAATAATTTAATATGTAACAATAATTTAAATTTGACATATAATATACATAACATACATAACATACATAATTACTATTACCTATCCAAATATAATTTAAGACTGATAGCAAATGTGCTATTTTATTATTTACTTTTTAACTCAGCCAAGTTTTTGGCTACCAAGACTGCTTTTATTGGGCAGGATAATTATTTGACAATTAATTTGGAATCAGTTCCAACTAATTTAAATTAGTAAATGTGACAATAGAGGCAATCTCTAGCAATAATAATAGTTTAATTAACTTTGAATGCAGCCCACAAATAAGTAATAAAAATTGTTTACACCTGGTGCATCAAAATATACAAGGCATGATGGGCAAAGAATTAGAAGTTGAATTGTTTTTAAATAGTAACAACATACATATCCTTTGTATTACTGAACATTGGCTAAAAGATTATAATTTCATGTTTAATTTCAGAAATCACCAGGTGCTCAGTTCCTTCAATAGAGAAAAAAGTTTACGTGGTGGGTCCTTAATACTAGCAGATAAATCATTATTATATAAAGAACGTAAGGATATAGTGAGCCTCTCTGTTGAGCGAACTATAGAAATGGCTTGTGTCGAGCTCGAGCACCTCATTGTTGTAAGTGTTTACAGACCCCCATGTGCTACTTATGACTATTTTGAAAGGATTGTGGAAGAAGTTTTACTCAAACTTAGTAAACAGAACAAGTCTGTTGTAATATGTGGAGACTTTAACATCAATCTCCTTGAAACTTCTTCCATTAGTATTAAGTTTAGCTCATTGTTTAAATCGTATAATCTTGTTAATTTATTCTTAGAACCAACACGTATTGCTGGGCCTAGTGCGACCTGTATATATAATATTTTTACAGATGTTAAGCCCTTGCATAAATCATTTATTTAAAATTTAAGTTCAGATCACTGTGGACAGTTGGTATCATTGCCTTACATACACAAGAAACAGAAAAATAAGAAAGTTGTGTTTGTTCCAATAAATGAACATCGCTTGGAGAGGTTTAGAAGTAATATAATAAAAATACTTCCATCACTTTCATTTAAAAACAGTGCTAATTGTTTGTATGGTACTGATGCGCGCCACTATTAATGTCTTGTACATGGCAACACTAGTTACACTAGCGCCCTCTAGTGTCGAGTAGCAGAACTAGGAGAGTCGAGATCCTTCTAGAAATTTCGGTACCGATATGTACTCGAACATTCTAGATGTCGCTACAGTAGAAGGTTCTAGAAACTATCTGAGGCCCTATATAAGGCCGGTATAGACCACGACCGGGGCAGTATTGAATTGGCGATACAAGAGAATACTTCGAAGCGAAATAACGGCGAACTGTGTTTTATTATTAGTGTGGTTTTAGATTGTAATTAGTGTTGTGTAATTAAAGTGTCAAATTTGGTAATTCAATCGGCAGTTTTTAATTGTCACGAACCCCAAGCTCGTAACAATTGGTGTCAGAAGTGGGATCAAATATGTCGATTTTACCTAAAGACGACACGGAGGGTATCCGTACCCGAAGTCAACGCCAACAGGAGACGGACCAGAGACGATTTGGTAATGCAACGCCGCAAACGTCAGAGGGCCAGCTGCTAACCACGGAGGCAGGCCCGTCAGCATCTCCTGCATCTGCAGCACCTGACTTAGGTGCTCTGATGATGAAGCTGCAGGATCAGGCTCGCCGACAAGAGGAACAGGCCCGCCGACAGGAGGAACAGACCCGTCGGTTGGAAGAGCAGCTGCAGCGTGGTATGGAAGAGCAGATGCTCCTCAGGAAGGACCTTCACGCTACCTTCGGGAAAGAGATAAAGGAGGTGAAGGATAGGGTTGCTCAACATGACAACCGCCTGCCGGAAGCTGAAACCCGAATCGACCAAGTGAACAATCGGGTTGACAACGTGATGGTAGACATGAAGAAAACGCTGGATGACCTCAAAATTGGGGATGGAGTTACAGCTCCCGTGGTAGCTACTACACCGTCGCTACGTGGATTCAAAATACCGCCGTTCGACGGGACTTCTTCCTGGTCGGCCTGCAAAATCCAGTTCGAGGCTGTCATGAAAGCGAACGGCTGGAATAAAAGTTAGGCCATGACTGCTCTCACCCTAGGCCTACGCGACCAGGCTTTAACTGTTCTGGAAGCTCTTGGTAAGGAAGTGACTTATGAGCAGCTCCTTGAGGCATTGGAGGCGAGATATGGTGATGCTCACCTGGAACACGTCGTGCGCAGCTCAAAGATTGCGTGCAACGCAGTAACGAAAACCTGCAGCAGTGGGCCCTTGAGGTGGAGAAGCTGGTTCGAAAAGCGTACCAGTCTGTACCTGCGCTCATTGTAGGGAACCTGGTGCAGACATTCATCGACGGCATCCGCGACCTTGAAGTCAGAGCTGCTGTGATGCTCGGGCACCACGAGACACTTAAGGACGCCTTGACCCATGCACTGGAGGTGGAAGCCGTGCGGCAGTATCATCGTTCCCACCGCGTCAGGGAGGTTGCAGCAGCTACAGTTCAGGACCGCAATAAGGGCTACAGCCCTAGGTGCTACGGCTGTGGGGAAAGGGGCCATCTTCGATCCAGCTGCCCTAAACGAACTATAGAAAGGGAAGGTGATCGATCTCGAGAGGATAGTGCGGATAATAGCACCGCCCAGCAGCAGCAGGGAAACTGGCGGGTGCTGGCTGATGTTAAAAGAGCCCCAAAGATTTCGATCTCACAAACCCGTGATGGAAACAGCCTGATCATCAAGGGCGAATTCAACGGAAAGCCGTGTAAACTGACCATAGACACTGGAGCCTCTCGCACGGTTGTCAGTTCCCAACTTATAAATCAGTTTCTTGGGGACTCCGCATACAACCGAGAACGCATTAATTTGGTGACAGCCAACGGTCAGCGCATACCCGTTCGTGGAGAGAAAGAGATGGAGTTGAAGCTAGGCAACATGATCTACCTGCATAATGTCATCGTGGCTGATATAATGTACGACTGCATCCTGGGCCTAGACTTTATGAGGAAGAATTGTTGTGAGATCGACGTTAAGCAAGGTGTTTGAAATGTGGACAAGAGGAACTTTTCGTGGAAGAAGTTGTTACTCAAGTACGCCAATGTTTTCTCGTCAAACGAAACTGACATAGGAAAGACTGGCTTAGTTCAACACAAAATAAACACAGGACAAGAATTGCCTATTCGTCAGCGGTCAAGAAGATTGCCTGTAGCACGTGAAAAGGAAGTGGAAACCATGATTGAGGGAATGGTGAAGGATAGTGTTATTGAACCTTCATCTAGTCTATGGTGTTCACCTGTGGTGCTGGTAAAGAAGAAGGACGGCAGCATGCGGTTTTGTGTTGACTACCGCCGCCTGAACGACGTTACAAAGAAGGACAGCTATCCCTTGCCAAGAATTGATGACACGCTGGACATGCTTACAGGCGTAAAGTGGTTTAGTACGCTGGATCTGAAAAGTGGCTACTGGCAGGTTGAAATTGACCCTAAGGACAAGGAGAAAACTGTATTCTCCACAGGAAAGGGTCTGTGGCATTATAAAGTCATGCCGTTTGGATTGTGCAATGCTCCAGCAACGTTTGAAAGGTTGATGGAGCTTGTACTTACCGGGCTAATTGGAGATGCCTGTCTGGTCTATTTGGATGACATCATCATCGTAGGCCGTACGTTTGAGGAACACCTTCAAAACCTCAAACGCTTGCTCATGAAGATCCAGAGTGCCAACCTCAAGTTGAGTCCAAAGAAGTGCTCACTATTCAAACGGCAAGTTAGTTTTTTGGGGTATGTAGTGTCGGAAGAAGGTATCGGCACGGATCCAGAGAAAATTGCTGCTGTCAAGGAGTGGCCGGTCCCAAAAGACAAGACACAGGTTAGAGCATTTTTGGATTTGTGCTCTTATTATCGGCGATTTGTGAAGAACTTTGCAGATATAGCCAAACCTCTGCACAAGCTAACCGAGGAGAAGCGACATTTCTGCTGGGATGAAAGTTGTGATATTGCATTCCAGGAGCTCAAGAACCGTCTGTGCAAAACACCTATTTTAAGGTACCCTGATGCGGGCAAGGAATTCATAGTTGACACAGACGCAAGTGATATAGGACTTGGCGGTGTGTTGTCTCAACGGAATGGTGATCAAGAGATTGTGATAGCGTACTTCAGCAAGTCGTTGTCAAAGCCGGAAAGGAACTTTTGTGTCACAAGACGGGAATTGCTTGCTGTGGTAAAGTCCTTGCAGCATTTTAGCAAATATCTTCTAGGGCGGAAATTCCACTTACGAACTGACCATGCTGCACTGAAATGGCTATTGCAGTTCAAAAATCCGGAAGGACAAGTTGCGAGATGGATTGAACTACTGCAGGAATACGACTTTGTGATCGAACATCGCAGCGGGAAATCTCATAGCAATGCAGATGCATTGTCAAGAAGACCTTGCCCTGAAGATTGCAAGCATTGTACTAGGCAAGAGGGTAAGGAAGTGGTATCTGTGAGAATGCTCAGGACAGACCAGCTCAGCAATGAGTGGAAGGACAGTCTACAACATGCACAGCAGGAAGATTCAGACATTAAGCCGATTCTGGAATGGATGAAGGCCAGTGCTCCTAAGCCCAAGTGGAGCGACGTCTCAGCAATGAGTTCGACCACGAAAAGCTATTGGGCTCAATGGGACAGCTTACTGATTCAGGATGGAGTCCTGTGCCGTAAATGGGAAAATGGTCAGGGAAACAGTTGTTCAGGAGGCCACCTGGGAGTTAAACGAACTCTACTGAAGATCCGAGAACGGATTTACTGGGTCCACTGTCGTGACGATGTCGAGGACTGGTGCCGCAAATGTAAAAGTTGCGCGACTGTAAAGGGACCTCACATTCGTAGTAGAGGCACATTGAAATTGTACAATGTTGGTCCACCATGGGAGAGGATAGCCATTGACGTTGCGGGGCCGTTTCCGGAAAGTGAAAGTGGTAACAAGTATTTCATAGTTGTGATAGATTACTTCACTAAGTGGCCAGAAGTCTTCGCCATTCCAAATCAAGAAGCTTCAACAGTTGCAGATAAACTAGTTCATGAAGTCTTCTGTCGTTTTGGAGTACCCTTAGAGATTCACAGCGATCAAGGAAGGAATTTCGAGTCTCAAATATTCCAGGAAACTTGCAGAGTTATGGGTACTCATAAAACACGAACAACTTCTTACCACCCACAATCTGATGGAATGGTAGAACGATTTAATCAGACATTGGAAAGGTACCTGGCAAAAGTTGTGGAAAAACGGCAACGAGACTGGGACAGGCACATACAACCGTTTTTGTTGTCATATCGAAGCGCTGTTCACGAAAGTAGATCATTGCCGCTAGCTTTCGCAAACTTTGGGAGAGAATTGCGGCTGCCTGCAGACCTCATCACCGGAATACCACCTGATGCCCCACGCAGTATAACCGATTATGCAAATGACTTGCGGAACAAAATGAATGACATTTATGAGCACGTCAGACAGACGGCCCAGCAAACGTCTGAGAAGATGAAAATACGGTATGACCGCAAAATGAACAACAAGGGGTTTGATGAAGGTTCACTAGTGTGGTTACACAATCCAGTTCGCAGCAAAGGGAAATCTTTTAAGTTTCAAGCTAAATGGGACGGACCGTACCGGATTGAGACAAGGATCAATGACAACGTAACCTATCGGATACAGAAAGGTGCCAGAGGTACTCCTAAGATTGTCCATGTGGATCGACTGGCGCGTTATTATGGGGCCTTTAATGCTTGGGACGAGCATGTCTTAGGAGGGGGTAGTGTTGCGCGCCACTATTAATGTCTTGTACATGGCAACACTAGTTACACTAGCGCCCTCTAGTGTCGAGTAGCAGAACTAGGAGAGTCGAGATCCTTCTAGAAATTTCGGGACCGATATGTACTCGAACATTCTAGATATCGCTACAGTAGAAGGTTCTGGAAACTATCTAAGGCCCTATATAAGGCCGGTATAGACCACGACCGATATATTGAATTGGCGATACAAGAGAATACTTCGAAGCGAAATAACGGCGAACTGTGTTTTATTATTAGTGTGGTTTTAGATTGTAATTAGTGTTGTGTAATTAAAGTGTCAAATTTGGTAATTCAATCGGCAGTTTTTAATTGTCTCCAACCCCAAGCTCGTAACAGTACGTTATTTAAAATTATATCTTATGAATTTAGTAGGATATTTACTTCTAAAACTTCCTCTTTTAACAGTCGCAAATCATTTAATGAATGGGCGACAGTAGGAATTAATAAGAGTAGGCGAAATTTATACGAGCTTTATAATAAAAGATCAGTTGTTGCGCTGGGGGCCGCGGGTTCGAATCCCGCACGGAACAAGTATTTGTATGGCCTACAAATAATTGTTCCGTGTCTGGTTGTTTGTCCTTGTGCAATTTATGTTTGTAAACTGCCTCCACGACACAGGAGAAAATCCTAGTGTGGGGGTAACGTTTTAAAAAAGAAAAAAAAAGATCATATAATACTAGTGTTATATTTAGAGATTATGTAAAAACATATTCCAAAATATTTAAAAAAGTGTGCGCCACAGTTAAGGCTTTACATTTAAGTAACAAAATTAAAACTGCATCTAACAAAATTAAAATGACCCGGAGAATAATAAATAGTGAAACGGGCAAGGTCAAACCGCGCAACTCGGATTTCCAATTGAATATTAACAATAATTTAACCCGATCTGATCAAGAAGTTGCTATGGCTTTTGAGAAACATTTTACTGATGTTCCTTTTTTGACAACTAAATCATTAAACTCTTCTCCTACTGTCGCCGAATCATTGCTCAAACAAAATGTATAGGCTTGTTCAAATACTTTTAAATTCCAAGAGTACTGCTAAAAGATATCGTTAAATATTTTAAAACTACTGATGTTAAGGAAACGACAGATTTATGGGGGATTTCCGTTAAAGTTATTTTATCTATAATAGATATAATAGCACCTTATCTAGCCGCTATATTTAATACAAGCGTCGAATCTGGTGTGTTTCCTGATTTAATGAAACATAGTAAAGTCATACCTTTATTTAAATCTGGTAGTACATTAGACCCCGCCAATTTTGGACCAATTTCTGTACTACCAATATTTAATAAAATTTTTGAAATAATAATTATAGATCAGATGTTAAGTTTCTTTAATGTTAATAAATTGCTACATAGAAATCTATTCGGTTTTACAAGGGGTCGCTCGACAACTGACGCTGGAGTTAAGCTTATTAAACATATTTTTTGTGCATGGTAGAATTCAGAGGATGCTTTGGGTATATTTTGTAACCTTTCCAAGGCCTCCGACTGCGTTCACCATGAGACATTAATCAGGAAACTACAGTACTATGGTGTTAAGAACACAGCGCTTAAACTTATTATTTCATATTTAAGTAATAGAATGCAGAAAGTTATTATCAATGGTAAAAGCTCTTCCGGCTCACCTGTACTAATGGATGTCCCTCAGGGCTCGATTCTCGGCCCATTCATATTTCTAGTGTATATTAATGACTTACCTTCTCATGTAGAGGATAATCATGATATAGTATTATTTCCTGATGATACTTCCTTGATTTTTAAACTTAAACGTCAATCATTTAAAGGTGACGAAGTGAATAATGCTATATCAAAATTAGTGCATTGGTTTAATGTTAATAATCTACATTTAAACGGAAATAAAACTAAATGTATTAAATTTACAACAACAAATGTTAAAAATCTGAGTACCAATGTGTTTTTAAATGGAGAAGAACTGAGCCCTGTTGAATCCACTGTTTTTCTTGGCATCACTCTCGACGCAAAGCTTCAGTGGGGCCCCCATATATCCAAACTAGCAAGCAGACTAAGTTCTACAGCCTATGCTGTAAAAAAGATTAGAGGTCTCACTAGTGTCGAGACAGCTAGAGTAGTTTATTTCAGTTATTTCCATAGCATAATGTCTTATGGGATTTTGCTATGGGGAAATGCGGCTGATTCAGAAACTATTTTTGTTTTACAGAAGAGGACCATTAGAGCTAATTACGACCTAAAACCGAGAGAGTCTCTTAGAGATAAATTTAAAGAAATAAATATATTAACTTTGCTTTCTCAGTATATTTACGAAAATTTAATGTATGTTCACAAAAACAAAGGTAGTTTTATTAAAAAAAGTGATATGCATTCTGTAAACACTAGGAACAAACACAAGCTAGTGATACCAGTTTCTCGACTCCACAGAGTCAGTAATTCATTCTTGGGGCAATGTATACGCTATTACAACAAGGTCCCGGAAAGTGCACAGGCTCTCTCTATTAGCAAGTTTAAATGTTTTGTTAAGTTGAAATTGTATAAAAAGGGTTATTATAGTATAAATGAATACATGGTTGATAATAACCCCTGGGAATGAGGTGATCGCTTCCAAGCTGTTTCTAAAATAAATTTTGTACTTATATAGTTTGTACAATCATTATTGTAAAATTTACTTTAAAAAAAAGTCCCGCTGAGTTTCTTGCTGGTTCTTCCCAGGACAGAGGTTTTTTTTCGAACCAGTGGTAAAGTAAAAAATGACTTTCAATAAGAATTTAAATATTTTATTGTGTTCTATTCTATTTTATTTTTATATTTGAGTTGATTGAATGAAAGGCAAATTACGGTTTACATATATATTTAAAAAAAAAACTAAGTACTGATCTCGTTGAAATCAATTTTCGGTGGAACTTTACATGGTAATGTAGATTATATATTATTTTTAGTTTTATCATTCTCTTATTTTAGAAGTTACGGGGGGGGGGGCACACATTTTACCACTTTGGAAGTGTCTCTCGCGCAAACTATTCAGTTTAGAAAGAAATGATATTAGAAACCTCAATATCATTTTTGAAGACCTATCCATAGATAACGAACTAACCCGTATGGTTTTGATGAAAAAAATTTTTTGATTTTCAGTTCTATGTATGGGGAACCCCCAAAATTTATTGTTTTGTTTTCTTTTTTGTGTGAAAATCTTAATGCGGTTCACAGAATACATCTACATAGTAGTTAGTTAGTTTCAACAGCATAGTTCTTATAGTTTCGGAAAAAAGTGGCTGTGACATACGGACGGACAGACGGACAGACAGACGTGACGAATCCATAAGGGTTGCGTTTTTGCCATTTAGCTACGGAACCCTAAAAAGCAATTATTTATTTGCTACCCTTAGGGGTGGAATTTATTCTTCAAATTAATACTATTTAATTAAAAAAATCATTAAATTCGGTTTACAATCGGCGAAGATACCATATGAAATTCCTTAAGCAACAGTCCATCCAATATGAAACTTTTCCCCTATTTTCCACACTTGGGGCGGAATATTTTCTACAAATTTAATGGGATCACCATTGAGGTAAAGCCTATTTAATAAAAAAAGAATCATTAAATCGGTTCACAATCTGCGACGATATCGCGTAACATACATACAAAAACATACACGAATTGAGTACCTCCTCCTTTTTGAAGTCGGTTAATAAAACAGTTGTAGCAAACCTGCTTGCCAAACGGGGCAACTATCGCAATTATCTCCATGAAGCAATCAATGGGGGAGGCCTATGTTCAGCTGTGGGCTTTTAATAGACTGTTACAAATGAATGAATATTGTCTGCACTAACCCAAAAAATAAGACAGTTTATTATTTTCCAAACGGAGTCGTGTGTAAGCATGTATTTCTTCATGTTGCAAGTTTTGGAAGTTCGTAAACAAGATTTGGGAGAAGAAATGGTGGATATTGTAAAGGACCTCCCGGGAATAGAATTAATAGCCCTATAAAATAATACAATATTCTCACAACGTCGTAAATGTTATAGCGGCAAACGCACCAAAACAACAATGTAATTAATTATATGGGTAGCCAAACAGAGAGTGGTTTAAATTCAATCCAATATTTTTTTTTTTACTGTGAAGTGAAACAGATTATTGAAAATGTTTTATTTTAATATGTTGAATATTTGAGTTTTTTTTTAAATATTTCCAATTATTTTTTAATTTTAAAATCTTGCGACCTGATGAAACATGCAGAGAGTCTTGGATGCACGTGACTTAGGCTTTGCGGCAGTCTATGGGGGAAGCCTATGTTCGGCAGTTGACTTGTGATGGGCTATGATGATGATGATTATTATTAATTAAATGACCAACTTTACATGAACAGATAGCAAAATCAAATCGATTCGCCAATCGTTTCGGTGAAATGTATTTTGGCATAAATATTTCTATTATCTTACGTAAAATAATCACCTGCCAGTGAGATGGCTGAGCACGGGCATCACGTTTCCGGGAGAGTTATACAATCCACCGCAATGCTGCAATTTATATGATTTCTGTCGTTAATGAAATCTCCCAAAACATAAATTTAATATTGTTCTGTTTTTAATGAGAATGTATTATTTTAATTGTCTATAAAAACAAAGATCCCGGATGAAATGAAGACATGGCTTAAAAGACAAGCATCCAAGTCAAAAATCTTAATAAAATTATTTTACTTATTTAGATGGCATAGATAATAAATAGCGTGCGTTTTGGTAGTGTTTTGTACCGCTCTACTGCCAACTGTCTATTTAGTAATCAATAGTAAATTGGATTTTTTTTTGCAATAAGTTGTCGAATATTATTTCTCCTAGAGATATATCTACGAGACGAAAAGTTTACTAACGTACGAAAGGACACAAAAACATCATTTTATAGACAGTAGAATGAGACTTTATACGTAGTCTGTACTGAAAGTCTGCAGTCCTGGCCACTTATGAATATTTGAACTATGATTATACTTTTGAAATATGTAGAATTTAATCTACGTCATATCGCAATCGTGAAAAATTGTTGAAATTTTAACTTTCAAATATGGGACATTCAATACAGCAACTTCCAAATAGGAAGCTATAATTAAGAAAATGGTCACTACACCAATTATACAATTAAATTTTTCACTAATTATTGTATCGCTATTCATTTTATATTACATGGTAGCTTAATGTTTAGAGTAATACTAAGTTGCACGCCCTGGGTTCAAATCCTAACTCCAACCTGTTTGAAAATTATTAACACAGTGTACATAGAGCTACTAGCACTATGTACATTCAAACGGGAATTTTTGTTTAGTAGCACGCATGCTGTCTAAGAGCTATTATAATAACAAGCTAGGAGGATTTTCTTCTTGGTCCTGAGTGGTGACGGCAATTTTTGGCCTTATTTGTTTGAAGTTTTATTTTCATTATATATTTTATATACAAAAAATGTTACACCTTTTTGGAATGTACAAGCAGATTATTATACGTAGTTAACAAAATACGTATAATATTTTCATTAGATTTTTCATATCTTTTTGTTTGATGATATATCACATACCTTATTATATTTATTTTTTCTCGGCTCTAAAGGCGCTTTAGAAGAACGATACCAACAGCGACGTCACTGACGACTGTCATGTGCCAGTCGCAATTGCTGCAGCGCTTAAGGCACTCGTTTATTTTATTAAACAGCCTACAGTAATTTTTAAGTAAAATGTGTACCTAATAAAGTCCGTATTTGAATGAATTAGTTTTCTTTATTGTTTTAAGAAAGTTGGGTGTGCAACGAAATTTTCTTTCTATAAAAAAACTTTCCTTTTGCAATCACATACATTCAAGTTCTGTTTTATAGTCGACGGTAAAGTAATAAGTTACATCGTAATCTCAAATTTTACTTCAGAACAAGCCCCCTCTCATCATTATGCGGAGCACTACGGAAGTGTGGACGAACCGGACATCGTTACGTTATCCCGGTTCATGATGAGAGAGGCTGACCGTGCGTTAAGTCATGCCTATACGTCCGTAGCGTCGAATAAGGAATCGCCCGTAAGACGAGAGACGCCGCCGTCGAAAAGAATAGTGTTAACACGCCGCGTAGAAGATAGGGCCCGCGACGTAAAGACGTTCACCGCCCAGGAGGACACCGGTAGTGCCTCATGTATGTGTTGCGGGGGTGAACACCCTATCGTCAAGTGTAAGAAGTTAGAGCAAATGGGCTCGGACGACCGGTGGAATTGGGTTAGGGAAGAGGGGGTATGTTTCAGGTGCTTGAGCAGCAAGCACCGACGTATACGCTGCAAAGCCAAGAAGTGCGGCGTCGACGGTTGTAACGCCCCCCACCACGCTCTTCTTCACACCCGCAAGGCCCGTACGCCTGTAGCGTCGGTTAAACCGGACGAAACCGTGCTCGTCGCGTCGAGTGTTAGCAGTAGTGCGTCCGTATTGTTAAAGGTGTGTCCGATAACCGTGCGCGGACCACGCGGAAAGGAAGTAAACACGTACGCGCTACTTGACGAAGGCTCTACGATATCGCTAATCGACGACGACTTAGCTCGTGAGTTAGGAGCGGAAGGACCGATAAAGCCGCTCAACATTAAAGGCGTAGGGAACAGTCAACGCGAGGCTAATAGTAGATTAGTCAATATAGGGATACGTGGCAAGACGCGCAGCGAGATGTTTAACATAAACGCGCGAACAATAACCGACTTAAAGATAGGCTCGCAGTCCGTAAGTAGGGAGTGCTTACGATTAAAGCACTTACGTGACTTACCGAGTTCGGTGTGTTACGACGACGCGAAGCCAAGACTGCTATTAGGCGCCGATAATTGGCATTTGATAATTACCCGTGCTTTAAGGATAGGACGTCGAAGGCAGCCTATAGCTGCACGAACGTTATTAGGATGGGTAATTCAGGGAACCGTGCCCCGGTTAACGTGTAGGGAAGACGGCGAGACCGTATAGAGAGACACGTAGAGAGCACTAGCGGACGGTCTGATAGGGACATCCGAACGTTTGCCAGTCGGGACGAGGAGCTAACGGAACTCCTCAAACGGCAGTACGAGATAGACTCTATAGGTATCTCGCTGAAGAGTAGGCCGCGACGGGACGAGGAGCGCGCTGTCGACATATTCCAGCGCACCGTCAAGAAGGTCGGCGAGCAATACCAAGTTGGACTGCCATGGAAGGACGACAACGTGCGGATGCCACCCAGCTACGAGATGGCAGCGCGAAGACTACGGACGATCGAGAGGAAGATGGACCAGTCGCCGGAGTTTCGTGACGCCTACACAGCCCAGATAGACAACCTCCTGGCGAAGGGATACGCAAGGGAAGCCGAAGGGACAGAGCGAGAGGATCCCAAGAGCTGGTACCTGCCACACTTCGCCGTACGGAATCCGAACAAGCCGGGGAAGACGAGATTAGTGTTCGACGCGGCAGCGCGTGCATCCGGCAGATGCCTTAACGATTATTTACTCGACGGCCCCGACTTATTACGGAACCTACCGGGCATACTGTTTCGATTTAGGGAAAACGAGATAGCGGTGTCCGCGGATATTAGGGAGATGTTCTTGCGTGTAAAGATCGACCGTCGCGACCAGCCCGCGCAGTTGTTTCTTTGGCGAGGAGACGAGCGACACAGCCCACCGCGGGAGTACGTTATGACGTCAATGATTTTCGGTGCGAGGAGCTCGCCGTTTCTCGCACATAGCGTTAGGGATTATAACGCGCGCGTACACGCAGAGACACACCCGTTGGCACTTAATGCTATCACACGTAGCCATTACATGGATGATTATTTAGACAGTTATGCCACGGTAGAGGAAGCGATAAATACGGCGAAGCAGGTTTCGGAAGTGCACCAGCAGGCCGGTTTCACCTTGGCAGGATGGAACTCCAACAACGCAGCCCTGTTAGAAGACAAGCCGGAGGACTTACTGGCGCGTAAGCCCAAAGAAGTAGGCAAGTAGTAGAAGTAAGACAAGACAGCCCAGGCAGAACCCTAGGGTTATTATGGATGGCTGATGAAGACGCCCTAACATTCAACACGTCAATGAATAGGGTGCCGCAAGAAGTGAAGGCGCTACAGCGACCACCGACCAAGAGGGAAGCATTAAGCGCGGTCATGTCCGTTTTTGACCCGCTTGGACTGCTAAGTTACCTCACCATCACCGCCAAGATCCTGCTACAAGACCTATGGCGCATGAAGAAGGTCGGATGGGACGACGAACTACCCGAGGAGGCAGCAGAGGAATTCCAGCGATGGCTGCGAGTCGTCGAGGAGGTGTCACGACTACGACTGCCAAGGTGCTATGCTCCTACGGGGGGAGTTGTAGAGCGTCAACTTCACGTCTTCAATGATGCGAGCGAACGTGCGTACGCATCCGCGGCGTATTGGCGTATACGATATCGCGACGGAACGATTAGGGTGCGATTAGTGGCGGCTAAGGCGAAAGTCGCCCCAATTAAAGCGCAAAGTATACCGCGATTAGAGTTGCAGGCGAACTTAATAGGCGCGCGACTCGCGGAATTCGTGCAGGACGAACACAGAGTGGTAGCGGATAGGGTCGTATATTGGACGGACTCTACTACGGCGCTCCACTGGATACAAAACGATACGGCGCGTTACACTCCATACGTTGCTCACCGGTTAGGGGAGATAGCTGAGAAGACATCACCCGAGCAATGGAGGTGGATACCGACTGCGGAAAACGTAGCGGATCAAGCAACGCGGATGAATTTCACAACTAAGGAAGAGAGCGACAAGTGGTTTACCGGACCACCCTTCCTCTACGAGCATGAAGACAGATGGCCTCACCGACAGGAAGAGAAGGCGGGGGATGATGAAGAGTTGGAGGAAATCGTGGCGCACCAGAGCGACACCCAGGAAGCTCCACACCTGCCAGACATAGAGAGATTCTCTGCCTACGAGAAGTTAATCAGGGCCACTGCAAGAGTACTACAATTCCTCGATGCGGCACGAGGAAGAGCACGAGGACTGACCTTACAGCACATCCAGAGAGCAGAACGGATGTGGATACAACGCAGCCAGCAGGAAAGCTTCGCTGAAGACATCAGCCGCCTTCAGCGGGGAAAGAATTTGACCACCGGCAGCGCACTAAGGAAGCTCGACCCCATATTGGAGGATGGGGTGCTACGAGCCAGGGGAAGGATCGACGCAGCCGACATGGACGGTCAAATGAAGAGACCCATTATCCTGAATGGACGTCACCAATTTGTGAAGCTGCTTGTGGAAAAGGCGCATCAGGAAGCAAGCCACGCCAATAGGGAGAGGGTGGTGAACGACCTGCGCACTAGGTATCATATCCTCCGATTACGACCTACAGTACGGGAAGCGGAGCGGAGATGCCTACGATGCAGAATACGGAAGGCGACACCACGACCTGCGGTTACAGGAGACCTACCACCTGAACGGTTAGGGGCGTTTGCGCGACCATTTACGAACACCGGGATTGATTATTTCGGGCCTCTGACGGTTACGATAGGACGACGGCACGAAAAACGGTGGGTGGCACTGTTCACGTGCCTAACGACGCGCGCAGTACATCTAGAGATAGTCTATTCTCTGACCGCGGACTCGGCGATATCGGCATTGCGGCGCATGGCGGCTAGGCGTGGGTGGCCACGGGTTATTTATTCGGATAATGGGACTAATTTTCACGGGGCAGACACAGAATTACGACGGGCAATGGAAGAGTGGGCGCCACAGTTAAAGGATTACGCGCTGACTCGGCGCGTCGATTGGAAGTTCATCGCACCGGGCGCGCCTAACCAGGGAGGCGCATGGGAGCGTCTCGTGCGCTCAGTGAAGACCGCGCTCGAAGCCACTCTCCATCAGAAGAGCCCACGAGAAGAAACGCTGGCAACGCTTCTGACGGAAGTCGAAAATACTATAAATTCTCGACCGTTGACGCACGTACCGGTCGACATCGACGATGAAGAGGCGCTGACACCCAACCACTTCCTACTGTTGGGACCATCGGGCCTGCCAGTCACCGCGCCGTGCACACCAATGGATCGTCGGGCGTGGAGAGCGGCGCAGGGGCTCGCCGACGAATACTGGAGGCGCTGGGTGAAGGAGTACCTGCCGACGCTGGTCGCGCGCGGGGACTCCAGAGATGCTCAGCAGCGCCAAATACAGGAAGAAGACCTCGTCGTGGTTGCAGACGGCAACCTACCCAGGAATGTGTGGCCGCGGGGCATCGTAACGAAGACGTTTCCTGGACCAGACGGCGTGGTACGGAACGTCGAGGTCCGGACCAAAGGAGGAGTGCTGCGGCGGCCCGTCAGGAAGATCGCCGTCCTCCCGAGAGAAGCTTAGGCTCGCAGGCTACGCCGGGGGGAGGATGTAGCGGACAGCGAGGAGGCCGCCGCCCCGTCGCCCCTTCACACCCCGGTGCGCCCCGCGCACCCCGCACACCGGCAGCAGATCACGCGATGTCGCCGACCAATGAGCGCGCGGCATCGCGGACGGCGCTACGCACGACCCGAGACGCTCTCCGGTGAGATATAAGAAGGGCGTCTCGGACGGTTAGCTGTTCATTTCGGAAGCGGCACTCGACGAGAAGAAGACAGCAAGAAAATCAAGAAAATCAAGACTCAAGAAGACTCCATCAAGAAGACTCCCCTCTGTGTAATAGTTTAATTAATAGTGCCACATTTTGTAAATAGTTAGAATACAGTATAGTTCGACAGTACCATCTTTTCTTTGAGTAGTTGCCCCCTAGCGTAACCCCCCCCCCCCACCAATAATACAGTCCACTGCGATCCATAACATGCATCCAAGGCAAAAATCTTAATAAAATTATTTTACTTATTTAGATGACATAGATAATAAATAGCGTGCGTTTTGGTAGAGTTTTGTACCGCTCTACTGCCAACTGTCTGTTTAGTAATCAATAGTAAATTGGATTTTTTTTTGCAATAAGTTGTCGAATATTATTTCTCCTAGAGATATACCTACGAGACGGAAAGTTTACTAACGTACGAAAGGACACAAAAACATCATTTTATAGACAGTAGAATGAGACTTTATACGTAGACTGTACTGAAAGTCTGCAGTCCTGGTCACTTATGAATATTTGAACTATGATTATACGTTTTAAATATGTAGAATTTAATCTACGTCGTATCGCAATCGTAAAAAATTATTGAAGTTTTAACTTTCAAATATGGGACATTCAATACAGCAACTTCCAAATAGGAAGCTATAATTAAGAAAATGGTTACTACACCAATTATACAATTAAATTTTTCACTAATTATTGTATCACTATTCATTTTATATTACATGGTAGCTTAATGTTTAGAGTAATACCATAATACTACATTGCACGCCCTGGGTTCAAATCCTAACTCCAACCTGTTTGAAAATTATTAACACAGTGTACATAGAGCTACTAGCACTATGTACATTCAAACGGGAATTTTTGTTTAGTAGCACGCATGCTGTCTAAGAGCTATTATAATAACAAGCTAGGAGGATTTTCTTCTTGGTCCTGAGTGGTGACGGCAATTTTTGGCCTTATTTGTTTGAAGTTTTATTTTCATTACATATTTTATATACAAAAAATGTTACACCTTTTTGGAATGTGCAAGCAGATTATTATCCGTAGTTAACAAAATACGTATAATATTTTCATTAGATTTTTCATATCTTTTTGTTTGATGATATATCACATACCTTATTATATTTATTTTTTCTCGGCTCTAAAGGCGCTTTAGAAGAACGATACCAACAGCGACGTCACTGACGACTGTCATGTGCCAGTCGCAATTGCTGCAGCGCTTAAGGCACTCGTTTATTTTATTAAACAGCCTACAGTAATTTTTAAGTAAAATGTGTACCTAATAAAGTCCGTATTTGAACGAATTACTTTTCTTTTTTGTTTTAAGAAAGTTGGGTGTGCAACGACATGTTCTTTCTATAAAAAACTTTTCTTTTGCAACCGCATCCGTTCAAGTTCTTTTTTATTATCGAAGTTAAAGTAACAAGTTACATCGTAATCTCAAATTTTACTTCAGAACAAGCCCCCTCTCATTATTTGGAGGGATCCCGAATGAAGTCCTCTCCGGCATCAACGAATAAATTAGTACTTCTTCAAAAAGAAAGCATAAATATGGCTGGTCACTGCCTTAGCCCTAAAATGGCGCGTCAACGCCGCCTGCAAAGAGACGTCACCGGTCATGTCGTTGATTGAGTGTAATTCGTCTTTAACGCTCTAATAACTAACAATCCGTTAGCTGACTGCGAGTATAGCGAGTAATGATTAATAAATAGCTACGTACTTAGCACGATAACATCAAGACAAATTACCTTTCGTCTGTGTCGGCTTTATATTCGATGTCAGATTAGTCTATTGTTACGATTTTTAGCCGCCCTAAAAAAGAGGTTCTCAATTCGACTTGTATGTTTTTTTTTGAATATATGCTACACAATATCTTCGACGATTGGGAACCGATTTCAATTATTATTTTTTATTAATACGTATAGGTTATACTTCAGACGTAGTCCCATTTAAATTTGAAGAAAAAAATTCATCCCTAAACGTAGAAAAAGAAAGATTTAAAAGGCGAATAATGTTAACTTACAACAGTTTGCAATTATGGCGGGTGGAAGAAAAAGGGGAGATATCCCGTCGGGCAAGGTGTTCTGCGTGTGAGCGGCCAACGCTCCGAGTAGTAGTTCGGAGCTATTCTATATATACTGCTTTAACTTCGTAACTTTGTTAGCGCGATTTAGGCTTCGATGTGTTTCGTGCGAAGCCGGGGCGCATCGCTGGTATACATATAATCACAGATAAGATTCCTTTCTACAAAACAATGGCTGCTGCATTAATAGTTTATTCCATATTTTAATCGTGCATTTCAATCAATACAGTTACATACGCTCGAATGCCTTATTCAAATAATGTCGCGATATAAACACACACGTGTTGATTGCATCGGGCGTTAACTGGTTTTTAATTTTAAGATATTATGTGTTATTAACCTTTCTTATAAGCCATGACTGTCATTGTACTATAAATTCCAAATTAATTTTTTTGAGATAGTTTTTTATTGCGGTAATATTTCTTTGTGTAGGCACATAAAGATGTACACTAAAGCTTAACCAGTGTGACAATGTGAACACGATACGTCATTTTTAAAAAGAATATGCGGAGTTAGATGTAATTAGACTTTTAATTTTTTAAATGCCAATACTGAATAATTTACCACACATGCACGTCTTATTGCCGTAGCTTTAATTGACGAACTTTTAAACTGTCAACGGCGAAAAAACCCAACAATCGGAGTCGATCTCGAGGACACTTTCGCAGAATAGTTGAACTATTTTTTTTTAATTAATTTATTCTTGAATAAAACTATTTTTACGGATTTTATCGCGTTTAATTAACCTGTTTTATATTCCCGACGTTTCGGTTGCTTTCCAGCAACCGTGGTCACGGGGGACTGAGGTGATTGACGTCCCGATGTCAGAGTTAAACCTTACCTTCGAGTACCTTCAGCTTTTTTAATTAATAATTTTGGTCCGATCTATGCAGAATGAACTAACTGTGTCTTGAAGTCTTGCAGTGGTATGCTTGGGTTTAGTTTTAATTTTATGAATTACAGGATCCCAAGCAGGTGGTAGTACCCAGCCTCCCTCTCTATTGAAATTAGGATGTTTTTTATTTCAATAGCTTCACGTATCATCCTTGGCAGGAATCGAACCTGGAAGCAAGCTGGAAAGCAACCGAAACGTCGGGAATATAAAACAAGTTAATTAAACGCGAAAAAATCCGTAAAAATAGTTTTATTCAATGTGTACTCGTAGTGTTCGCGTAAATATAAGAAATCATTAATTTATTCTTGATAAAAGAAATGTTACTCTCATGCTAAAATTGTTTGCTATATTATGGTAGATTTACATAGGTACATAAATTACGCAAGGACAAACATCCACCCAGTTATTTGAGGCCATACAAAGCCTCTCCGAGGCCGCGGCCCAGCAGTGTCGCAGCTGAGCTCTTTGCCACTTCATTACGGATTCTTTCTTAAAAAATGAAAACAGGAAAATCTTTATCTATTGCGTTTCGTTCAGTGAGTGATAACTTCCTGAGATATTAAAGTAGTAAGTAAATCCGTCACAGCCTTCAAAAGTCGCAACACAATTTGATTCTTGAATTTTATTCAAAAACTTTATTGGAAGTAAAGACTAGAAATCAGTTGGGGGGTGACTCGAACTTTAGGCCTAGTCAGTTTGAATAGCCAATCATATAGAGGATGTCATAAGGTTCATGGTTGAATAGGAGCAAAAAGTTCTCATTACACTCCTAGGGGGTCAAAATGGCCAAAAACCAAAAAATTGGGGGGTGGCTCGAACTTTAGGCATAGTCAGTTTGAATAGCCTATAATGTAGAGGATGGCATGGGGATCATTGTTGAATAAGGGCAAAAAGTTCTCATTACACTAATAGGGGGTCAAAATGGCCTAAAACAAAAAAAAAATTCTTATTTCGGCTATAACTCCGCCTACTTCGAAGGTACTTACACAGACTTTACTTCCCGCATCCCACTTTTTAAGATGGATATAAGTGGGCTAGCTGTTAGCTCAATTGTCAATGCAACTCAAATATATTATGCTAGAGAAATCAAACCAAAACCTCACAGATCAATAAGCGAGCGTCTACGTTGCAAAGCTATCTAAAATTCATTTATTGCATGAGTCGCCTCCACGTTTAAACTTTTTTATTACCTGAAATAGATGCTTGACAATCAGTCAATCTTGAGAACAAATATCAGGTTTGCAGTAAAACTACACTTGACATATTGTGCTAATAGTTATGATGCCCTTATAAGTCCAATGACTGTTTTTGAAAGTAACAGTAAGTGACTTGTACAAATATTATTTACAGTGCACCTTGTGCCAGACATCGTGAGAAAAGTTCTAATATAAAGGATTGTTTCTCAAATAATAACGCATTTATCACCCGTCGGTTCTGTTTTAACCAAACTCAATTCCATGAAATTGCTAATACAGCCTATCAAAGTCCACTGCTGAGCTTATACGGATACTTGCCATAGTTGCTAGGCTTGACTACCGCAGTTTACTTTTTATTTGAAAGACACTGCTACTTATCTCCTGCTCCATTTCTCTCTGTCGCTTGTTACGACACCCACGAAGTGTATACTCTTACATCGCTACTAGCGCGTACCGTGGGTTTCTTAATAAACATATACTAGCAGCTTAAAATTGTTAATAGCAGTTTTTAAAATGTTTGACGGTAAAACTGACATCATTATCATCAGTACCAGAAGCCTATCAAAGACCGGTACTGGA